ACACAGTCACCACCGCTGCCGTCACCATGGCGTATACGTAACTTTTCAGCTAATCTTTAAGACCATCGCAGGCAGCTGCGTCCTTCACCAGCACAACTGAACCTTCACCACACACGTTGTTGTGCGGTTACTTCTTTTGCTTATTTCGCTTTTTATTACTTGAATTTGTTAATGCCGATTAAGTGGCAATCTTGCAGCGGTAGCCCAAAAATTCCACAATAATTGCCGCACAAGCTGACCACTTTATGGCCACACCAAACTTGTTTACTCGAAATTATTTTTTTTTAGCTATATATTGCCTCATTTCATTTGCTTAATGCTAATAATTCTCCCTTCTCCCTTCTCCATTGGCAGCACACTTTTGCTGGTCGTTCTGGCGTTGGTCTGCTGCTTCTCCCTCACATACGCGCAAGAGGAAGGCGCTGCACCAAGCGGTCCCAAGCGGCCGGCATTGCGGCGCCCAGTCGGTGGTAAGGCGGCAAAAACTACAACAACAACAGCCTCACCAGAGGAGGAGGACAATGAGTACGAAGAGGGTGAAGGCAACGCTGCCGAGGGTGAGGACGGCGATGAGGAAGGCTTGGGCGCAAGCAGCACTACAACAACCACAGAGGCACCCAAAAAAGTGATAGGGCCAGTCATTCGGCCATTCCGTTCGAACGATGACTTCTTGAACTCGCTGAAACGTCGTCAACAAGACGCCAAGAAACACAGATGTAAGTGTGCAACCAACAACATAAACAACAAAAAATCTCCATTATCATTTATTAACACGATTACCGTTATCTATTTTGAACTACACACAGTTGTTGAGAAGCCAACACCAAAGAGCAAGCCAGCGCCCTCTCACGACGAAGACGCTGATGAAGGTGCCGAATCTGCGCCAGCTCCATCGTCGAAAGGCTTCAAGGGCGGCAATTCAGCCTGTGAGTATTCAACGTGAATGTGAAATATTTATTATATAATATTTTTGTTTGCCTTTTTTTTATATAATTTTACTTGAATTGAACTTTCGCCCACAGTGAACCGCCGTAAATTGTCGAAACCTGGCAAGCCCGAACCCGCGCCCGCCGATGATGCCGCCTCTGAGGAGTCCGAACAGGAGCCAAAAGAGCAAGCGAGACGTCTGCCACATGCTCGTCTCGCCTTGAGGAAGCGCAACTAAGACGCGTAGCGCACGCGCAGTGAAAGTGAAAATTTCTTTGCAAAACAATTTCTACTGCTGTCAATTTGATAACTTCTTCCTCCACCTCCAAGTTATTTTCCATGAGCTGTAATGGAAAAACGTACATAACTGTAAACCGTTCAGCTTTCTTCACTTATCTAGCTGTCTCTTGCGCACTTGCAGCGCTGCGCTTCAGCGTTGTAATTGCTTTGTGATTATAAACAACTTATAACTGTATACCTTTGTTTCACTCCACACACGTACATATGTAGAAGCTTATCGTTTTTTTCTAGATTTAAGTTATTTTATTTTATAATTGTTTCCACTTTTGTTTTAATTGAAAATTTCGTTCGGAGTTAGAATCGTCCTCAGTGCTCTTAAGCTTCTTTATATGTGTTATGATTATTATTTTATATACTTGTATGTATTTTTGAGTTTACGTGTATATTATATATTTTATTGTACATACTGCCAGCGTAAATTTACAAATTTGTCGTAAACAATTACAATAAACTTAAATATGTATTGATAAAAAATGCGAAAATCCAAATTTTTGTTGTTTTCCTTCGTGTAGGCGATAGTATCGCTTTACTTTACAGATTAGATGTTGAGAAGACCCTCAAATTTATTTAAATATAAACTCTATAATGTCGTCTTCAGTATCCGAATTCGAGCTCAACATACATATGCTTACCATTGAATCACGTAAGTGCATAATAAATTGTGTGTGATCTTACTTTCTCAAACTGTCACAGAGATTGTTCATATCATTTTCTAAAAAACTGTTCCGCGAAATTTATCCAACCAATATTTGTGATTATAGTGAATTTGTCATAGCAATCCTGAATTAATCCTTCGAGGCGACTACTCGAGTGGAAACACTCAGAGATCATCTCCAAAGCTGACTATCTTTATATCACGGCTATCTTTTAAATTATACATAGTATATACATATATATCTATATACCATACTGAGAGTAGGGAGCGCCTTTGTATGTTGGATTTTGAAATACAATTTAACTCAGGTGCTGTAAATCGATAATGCAACGAAGTTTTGCGATAAACAACTCACTATCGATACCTCCTCGTGTGTATCATACCGTAGGGACTTAGGTGCTTGCAGCATAGTCTTGCTAATGCGAAACAAGTATCCCTGGTGCCTGCTGTAGACACTTCCTGCAGTCTTCTCGATCTGTCAGCCCCATTCTGCGTACGTGGTGACAAGGCAGTGACCAGTGACCAGTTAGTATTCCGATCATGTTCTTATAGCCTCTTCCATCGAGCACCTGTAGGAATGGTTTATTTTATTGAAAATGTTAAGAAATTTGTGAAGCCAACCATAGACTTATACCTATTGCAATCGAAAGACTTCCTGTTAACCATTTTATTAAATGAGTAACTAATATGATTAATTTCGGTCTACCTTTTTGTACATGACTTTTGCAGTTTTGCACCCCGGAAGCACGTTAAATTGGGTATGGATTATGTTAATAAAGAACACAAAAAAAAAAAACGATAACTTCTGCTACAATAATATGAGAAGATCTCCGAGGTAATAATCTATCGATATCTCTAAAACTCTACAACTGAGGGACCAGTTCGCGACATACATATACAGACCGACGGACATGGTTAAATTGACTGAGTCCATAATTTGTATATACATATATCATATATATATATATTTTTTTTTTCTTTTTTTGTTTTTGAAAATATACAACTGTTGATAAGTGTTGGCAGATGTTTGAAATTGTCTAATTCATTTTTTGACAAATATTTTCTTGATGTTTTGTTTTTTTTTTTTGCCTTAATTGCGAAATTAAAAAATAATAATAATTTTTATCAAACTGAACATATATCATTCGAAATATTTTATCGTAGTTGCGTTCCCATTTGAAATAAATTTAATATGAAAATATTGGTAACCAAATAAAGGCATTTCAGAAAACTTCTATATACAAAGAGATATATTCGGTAAATTATCGGATCAATAAATAAACTCAATAATAAAGTTAACAAATTTATGTTAATTCAAGTATTATCAAACAATTTTAACTTGCTCTTGTTAATTCAATTAGCAGCTTAAAGGTGGTTGACTGCGCTAAAAAAATAATATAGGGCGACATCTACAGTAGCGAATAAATATCCGTTAACGTACAGAGTAACTCAAAACAAAAAAGATTTTGATGTTTAAATCGGTGTCGATCTAAAAGATCAATGGTGTTCAAGAATGATTGAAAAAAATAATAAAAAAACGATATTTTCCGAAAGTTGTTATTAAATTGATGAATATAACTTTTAAAATTATCAAATTATATTTATTTAATTTACTAGACATTATTATACTTATATCCCTAGACACTTAGTTGCTGTGTGTTGCAAATATAATATGCCGTTTTATTGACATATGTACTAGTGCATTAAATATTTATTGACCCGAATTTATTTTAATGACTCTGTAATATCTTCGCTGTTAACCGTTGATAAGCGACTCTACAATAAATTAGCAGAGTGCCGTTAAGACGTACAATTATACGAAATATACATGTGTGGTATATATGTATGCATGTGTACGAATAAATGCACACTTTATCAAGACCCACCATGAAACTGAAAGATAATGAAAAATCAGCATTCCAATAATCTTGCATAATCGTCTTTTCATTGGTATAAATTTCTTGTTGATCTTTGAATCGTGTTTTTAAATACTAAACCCCGGTTGCTTAGGGTCTGGTTAGCATTGATGGATAATATTCGTCAAATGCACCACGTTCAGCTTGCAGTGAAGAAAATATAGCAGCCGTAGGTGAGTGTGTACACGAAGACTGTGGAGAGCCGCTCGACCTTCCCAAGCAACATCGAATCGCTCTATGGGCTGTTGAAAAGTTCCAAGAATATCTGACATATTCGAGCCAATTTTTGCCCATTTTTGGCTCAATGAGTTAGTAAGCCAGCAAAATTGCCGCATTCGGGATGAAGAGACAAACCTGAAAAGATTCACGAGCTGCCATTTCATCCAGAAGTCTCTATATTTTACCAAAAATGATACCGGTGAGAACGTAACGGTCAAAGGCGAAATTTGGTTTCAACAAGGCGGCGCCACTTCTCACACATCGCACCAATCAATGGATTAATAAGAGAACATTTCGGTGAGCAGATAATTTCACTTTTTGGGCCGGTAGGTAGGAAAGATCGTGTGATATCACAAGGTTAGATTTGTTTTCTGTGGGGATAAATATATAAAGTGTACATATATAAAGTGTAAAGTATATGCGGACAGGCCCGCTTCGATCCAGGTCTTGGAGTAAAACATCACGCTTGTGATTCACCAGTTACCAGTCGAAATGCTCGAACGAGTCATCAAAAATTGGACTCAATGGATGGACCATCTAAGACGTAGCCGGGGCCAAAATTTGAAGGAAATAATCTTCAAAGAATCTTCTTTCGAACATTCCCCATTAAAATTGAAGTTTCTGTGGTTTTTCTTCAACAAGAAGGGAACCTCCAAATTTATCACCCTTTATTTTTAATACACTATACAAAGAATGCCACTGGATAATGGCGATTTATATTGCAATTGGATATCATTTTGTAGACTTCGTTTGTCGCATACACTTCATTTTCAAAAATACTTGGTTTTCCAAAAAGCAAATGGATGTGGCAACACCAAACCGCTCAGCTGACTGCCGACCGTTTTATTGCATTAATTTGTTTTTATTTATCAACATTTATGTGTATGTAAGTATGTATATTTTGTTTAATCAATTTGTGTTGATAACAACTAGCTATTTGGCTAGCCGCTAGCGTTCTCAACAATCAGTTGAACTTAGACACTTGCAGTGACAAGTTCTATTTTCGTGTTTAGAAAATCGCTTTGCTCGCACAGCATTCGTAGTGTTCGGTAGAAAGAACATTAAACACATAAATTAAATTTTTTGAACTTGAAATACATTTTTGTGGACAGTTGTGTTATTGTTGCTGTTGGTACGTTGTGCATATATATGACAATATAGAATATATGTATATACAATTGTAGATACTTCCATATACATATATCAGTGGGCAGCAATATCTCCAGCAAAGAATTATATAAAACTTAAGTACCTACATATACATGTGTATGTATGTATATATTATATATTTTAGACATTAGTACTCAAGTTGCTAGATAAGTATCTGCTGGGTGGCATTGGCGCGCGTGGCAAATATTTATTCTAGTTTCTTACAAGTACTCATAAATTCGTGTGTTGTACATACATATGTACATAAATAGTACATACAAATATGTTTATTTACGATGCGTTTAGGCTGCGCGGCTCCAGTAAATAATCAATGAAGCTTAATTTGTGTTAATAAAAAATGATAAAAACAAATTTATGTGTCGCACTTTAAATTGTTATTAATTTAATTAACTTGATAAACAATGTTATTTATTATATGCATTTATATGTGCTGGAAAGTCATAATTCTGAAAGTGAAAACAAAAACAATTAAATAACAAGAAAAAACATTGACTTCGGCTGCACCGAAGGGTGCATTTATTTTAGTAACTATGTGTACAGTTTGCATGGAAGCTATATGCTATAGTAATTCGATGACATACAACAGATGTTTGTGAATATAAAAAAATAATAATTGTTCAAACTTTGATCGCTGCCAACAAAGCAAGATAACGGGTATTTTGATTTGATTACAATTTGCAATTCATGGAAATGAAGTATTAGACCGGATTTCTTGTTTTTAAGCACAGTGAACGTATAGAAATAGTTGATAATTTAAAGAAGGATATAATTTCAAAAGAAAAGCTAACAAACTGAAGATAATAAAACGAAATAAATAAAATCAAAAGGAAATGTAACCTTTGGTTGCGCCCACTTAACAAAAAAACAGAAACTTCGAATTTATTGGGGAATATTTATTATTACTCGTATTATTGAAGATTATCTCTTTCAAATGTCGGCCGCGGGTACCTCTCAAATATTGCATCCGTTGTGACAAATTTTCGAGCATTTCGACTAGTAACTATCGAATGACACGTGTATTGTTTTGCTACTAGGCCTGAATCGYATAGACTTTAGACTTAACATACATATCCCCACAGAAAGAAGTCTAATGATGTGATATCACTCGATCTTGGTGGGCATTCGACCGGTCCACAACGTGAAATTATCTGCTCATTGAAGTCTTCTCTCAAAAAATCTATTGACTGATTTCAAGTATCAAATAGGTGGTTATAATGGCACGATAACGGTCGCCATTAACGTTTACGTTCTCACCGGCATAATTTTGGAAGAAATGTGGACTGATGATTCCACCGACCCACAAACTGCACCAAACCCATTGAGTCAGAAATGGTTGTCATCGAACGTCGAATTGTCTTGGAAATTTTGAAGAACCTATAGAACGAAACGATGTCGCTATTTATGGTCCAGTGCTTCAGTTTTTGCACAATGTGTATTTTGTATGTTTTAAATTTAAGATCTCGACGTAAAATGAGCCAAGTCGTTTCGTAAATCAGTTCGAGTTGCTGCGAACGGCATCGAATCGGCTCTCCACGATCTTCATGTACAATCTCAGGAACGGTTGCTATATTTTCGTTCACACCATGCTAGACGTGGTTTATTCGGTCGAATATTATCCAATAATGAAAGCAAGGTCTCAAAATGAGTGATGTTGTAGGCCCATTATATTGACCTAAAATACAGCAAAGCGCGTGAAAACGTTCTCTGCTGAACTTGAATTTTCGTAAATCGTCCAGTGGTAAAATGCCAAACAATAGTGAACAAAAATAACACGACAGCTTGACACGACTCACGCGGAATCTGCTAAAAGAAGGCTATTGAAAAAAGTAGCTCTTCTTGGATCACCTGCTAAAGTACTGCCAACAAATTTAAATTTGCCAACGAATTTAACATTAATGAATTTTAAAATGTTGCTTTCTATAATAACAACAGACCGAAGACTTCGTAAAAATGTATTTTTAATTGCAAAAAATTTACACAAATAAATATAAAAATTATACTTCTCAATAAAGTAATAATAGTGTTCAAACTGCAGTACAACTAAATTTCCATTAAAAAAAACATTTAAACTAACATCTCCAAAATCGATAAAAGAACTAATAGAATTACGCAAAGACGTTACAAATAAGTATGTATTTAATAAAAGAAAAATTTGTGTAAAAAATCGATCGATTTATTTTTATAGATAATAAATTATCAATGAGTGAAATCCGAAGTGAACGTCTTTCTTCAACTATTTATTTGTCATTAGTTTATTGCTGTCCTAATTACATTTTTATTGCGTAAATAAAGTTCATCGCAATTTGACCTTAAATACATATTTGAATATTTATTTTTTTTAATCCCAACATTATTAATTCGCATTATCTTTAAGTTTCATCCTAAACCTAGCAGTAAATTCTAGTTCTAAACAGCTTTACAACTGGTGTCAACTGGGCATCCGACTGTGTTCACTTTATACAAGCAGCTGAGAGTTATTTATGTAAAGAAGAAGAATAGCTTGCGAGATGTCAACTGTCAGATTTCGTTCAGAAATATACCAGCTTCGTACTAGTGCAAAGCAGATCCTAACTTTTAGTACAATTAATATCATCAGAAAGCAAAAATATTTATTTATATTGAGAATCTATGTATGTACCTTCTTTTTGTGAATTGACTTTCGAAAAACTGTTCACTTTAACTTTCAAATTGACTAGTTCCATTTTAGTCAGATAATATACATATACATGCATATACAATTGCACAATTTTTTTTTTTAATTTATAATATATGGCAACATAATTCATTTTGAAAAATTTTTGAAATATTTCAAGTAGTCACCTCTTATTGTTTTCATACTCCTTATCACTATCAGAATTAGCTGTTTTTGCAAAAACGAACTAAATTCGAATTTCAATGCACCGTGATATTTGTTGCCGGCAATCTTTCGCTTGCTTTTTCCATTATCTCTCTGCAAGGCACTTAGTAAAAAATTTGACAATAAAGACCGAGGCACAAAATTAACGCCCCAGTCCAAATCAGCGGATGTACTTTAGAGATGATAACTATATGCTAGATTTTAAATGGCTATATGCTGGCAAACATAGTACTCCTATTTAAAAAACTACATAAATACTTTGTATATTTTGTATATATTTATTTAGTTTTTTTTTTTTAATAAAATTTTTACGTAAATAAATTTGGTGCACGCTTGTACTATTGTGATCAAATTGAAAGGTGAATTTTATCCATTTCATCTCCGCTGTAATATACTTATGCCCGCGAATTTTCCAGCACTTGTAAAAATCCTCCGTCGTGGTGGCTATCAGAGTCTTCTTCGAATTAGCTTTTATATCTTCAATTGAGTCAAAACGGTGTCCTCGGAGTGATCATGCGAATTTGCTGAATAGCCAGAAGTTACACGATGGTAAATCAGGCGAATGCGGTCGTTGCGGCACTATATTAGTTGAAAATGTGGCGAAATGAACGCACTTTTTTCAATAAATTCAGACAAAAACACGTGGAGTATAAATTAAAAATTCACCTTTCTATTTGATCACAGTAGTATGTAGGTCTGTGGGTTTGCATATACTACTAATAGCAAAAACTAGAAAGACTTTGTTCATATTTTTAAAAGTCTTAATTTATTTTTGAAAATTTTTATCGAACACCATCGCCTATTCAGAAAGACAAGCGTATACTAAACACTGATAATTATTTTGATGTGACATTTGACACAACTTCGAAAAACACATTTCGACGAATGGGGTTATATCGTTTAATATGGCTCCGGGGGGGACAAATGGCCTATTGTGGTTTCGTAGATAAGGTTGAAATCAATAGAATATTAGCTATCTAACCTATCCAATTCTGATGTAGGAATATTGACTCCAGCTACGAGATCTGAACAGGGAGCACCACGCCTTGGTGTGGGCGACAGTTGGTTGAGCATATATAGGCTTCATCAGACTTGCTAGCATAATTTTTATAACGTCCCGCCGCCATTTAATACTATATACACATTAGTATTATTATACGACTAAGTAAAGAATAACATTATTTTGTTGTTTTTTTCGACAGTTTTAAATCATGGCACCACCAGCTTTACTCAGTAAGGAGATACCCGATATCGAGGTGAGTACTATTTACATTTCCGTTTTTTCAAATACAAATTTATTTTTTCTACTTTCTGCAAACACTTTAGAGCCTGATGTCCTTGAATCCTCGTGTCAAGTCGCTGTGCTCTGTCGTGCCAACTGCCGAAACGAAGATCAACAAGAAGCACTGGAAACGCAACAATGAACGTAATCCAACCGTGAGTATAATTTAAATACAACTAACTTTCTATACTAAAATATCGTTACAATTAATTGACAGAGCTGCTCGAAGCTACTCAATAACTTCGAAGATGTCAAGCACACTACACTCTCCGAGAGAGGCGCATTGAAAGAGGCCGCGCGTTGTTTGAAGTGCGCCGATGCGCCTTGTCAGAAATCATGCCCCACCCAACTGGATATCAAGAGCTTCATCACCAGTATTGCCAACAAGAATTACTATGGCGCTGCTAAGGCAATTTTCTCGGACAATCCACTCGGTTTGACTTGTGGTATGGTATGTCCAACCAGCGACCTATGCGTTGGTGGTTGTAATTTGCAGGCATCGGAGGAGGGACCCATCAATATTGGTGGCTTACAGCAGTTTGCGACCGAAATATTCAAGGAGATGGGTGTGCGTCAAATTGTGCCGCCAAATGTGAAGCCACTGCCGCAACCCAATAAGAAAATTGCTTTGTTGGGCGGTGGTCCCGCTTCACTTTCCTGTGCCACATTCTTGGCACGCTTGGGTTATAAGGACATTACGATTTATGAGAAACGCGCCTATTTAGGCGGCTTAAGTTCATCGGAGATTCCACAATATCGCTTGCCCGTTGATGTGGTGAATTTTGAAATTCGGTTGGTTAAGGATTTGGGTGTGAAGTTTGAATTGAATCGCAGTCTGTCCACCAACGACTTGACCGTCACTGTAATTTTAGATAAAAGCTCGTTAACTTCTACATATCGAATAAAAATCTTGTTTTCAGGGCTTGCTTACGGCAGGACATGACGCGCTGTTCCTAGGCATAGGATTACCAGAACCGAATGTGGATCCAGTTTTTGGTGGCTTAGACGAGTCAATGGGCTTCTATACGTCGAAGAACTTCTTGCCAAGAGTATCAGCGGGTTCGAAACCTGGCTTATGCACTTGCAAAGCTAACCAAGCTTTACCACAGCTATCGGGTAATGTCATTGTTTTGGGCGCTGGTGATACCGCTTTCGATTGCGCCACTTCGGCTTGGCGCTGCGGTGCTAAGCGTGTCTTTGTCATCTTCCGTCGGGGCACCACGGGGATGCGTGCCGTACCCGAAGAGGTGGAGTTGGCGCGTGAAGAATGGTGCGAATTTCTACCATTCTTGGCCCCCAGCAAGGTGGTGGTGAAGGACAATAAGGTAGTAGACCGGACATTTTCTAAAAAAAAAACAACTATTATATGCTAATGGTTTTTATAGATACGTGCTATGGAGTTCTACCGTTCTGAAATCGATGATAACGGCAAACTTATTGTGGACAAAGAGCAACCCACAACACTGAAGGCCGATTTTATTATATCAGCATTTGGTTCTGGTTTGAATGACCCAGAAATTATTGACGCCCTCAAACCAGTAGAATTGGATCACTGGAATCTGCCCAAAGTCAATCCTAAGACTATGCAAACCAGCGTGCCACAAGTTTTCTGCGGTGGTGATTTAGGTGGTCAAGCAAATACAACTGTGGAATCGGTAAATGATGGAAAAATCGCCGCATGGAGTATTCACTGCCAATTGCAAGGACTGCCATTAGATACGCCTGCGGAGCTACCACTTTTCTATACAGAAATCGATAATGTAGACCTATCCGTTGATTTAGTGTACGAGCGCACCGACAAGGAAACTGGTAAAAAGGAGAAGCACATACTTAAGTTTCCCAATCCGTTCGGTTTGGCGTCAGCACCACCCACCACCAGCGCGGCGATGTGTCGGCGTGCGTTCGAACAAGGTTGGGGTTTTGTGGTTACCAAAACATTCGGTCTTGATAAGGACTTGGTCACCAATGTATCGCCACGTATCGTGCGTGGCACTACATCGGGCTACAACTATGGTCCGCAACAAGGTGCTTTCCTTAATATTGAGTTGATATCGGAGAAACGCGCCGAGTATTGGTATCGTTCGATACGTGAACTCAAGAAAGACTTTCCCAATCAGGTGGTCATAGCGAGCATAATGTGCGCCGCCATCGAGGAGGACTGGATAGAAATGGCCACCAAGGCCGAGGAATGTGGTTCTGATGCACTCGAGCTGAATTTATCTTGCCCACATGGAATGGGTGAATCCGGTATGGGCTTAGCGTGTGGCCAAATACCCGATTTGGTGGAGAAAATTTCCAGATGGGTCAGTGAAACTGTAAAAATACCCGTCTTCATTAAATTGACACCCAACATCACGGATATTGTGGAAATTGCGGCTGCCGCGCATCGTGGTGGTGCCGCAGGTGTATCAGCCATCAACACCGTGCAAGGACTGATGAGTCTGAAAGCCGATGCCACGGCATGGCCAGCAATTGGCACGGAGAAGCGTACCACTTATGGTGGTGTGTCTGGTAATGCAACACGCCCAATGGCGTTGAAGGCGATTTCTTCCATTGCCAATAAATTGCCTGGTTTTCCCATACTCGGTATTGGTGGTGTGGACTCAGGAGAGGTGGCACTACAATTCCTACAGGCCGGCGCCTCGGTGGTCCAGGTTTGTTCTGCTGTACAAAATCAGGACTTTACTCTTATCGAGGATTATGCGACCAGTTTGAAGGCTTTGCTATATTTGCGAGCAAATCCACCACCATACTGCGGTCAGTTGTGGGATGGACAATCACCACCAACGCCCAAGCATCAGAAAGGCAAGCCCGTAGTGCACTTAACTGGAGATGACAATAAGGTGAGAAAAATATGCTCTAATAAAGTCTCCATATTTTCTAACTTCATTACTGTGTTTAGACCTTGGGCTTCTTTGGTCCATACAAGAAAGATCGCGAGCAAAAGCTTTATGAGGAGCGTGTCAAAAATGGTCCCTTATGGAATGTCAAGTCCGAAACTGCTGTGGCACCTGCGAACGATGCACCTAAACCAGCTTACAGAGTAAATGATGTTATCGGTGGCGCGTTGGAACGCATTGGCGCCTACAAGAAGCTGGACAACACACAACAGAAAGTGGCTCTAATCGACGATGTAAGTTTGCTCATGCGCATGAAGAAGTCTAATACCAGTTATTAATATTTTTCGTTTTAATTCTTCAAGGACATGTGCATAAATTGTGGCAAGTGCTATATGACTTGCAATGACTCCGGCTACCAGGCCATACAATTCGATGCTGAGACTCATATACCACATGTCACTGACGATTGCACCGGCTGCACACTTTGTGTCTCTGTCTGCCCAATCATCGACTGTATTACGTAAGTATATCGGCTAATGTATGCTTAAATAGAAAAATATTTACTGATTCCATTTTTTCAGCATGGTGCCAAAGAAGATTCCGCATATCATCAAACGCGGTTGGGGGGAAAATACTCCAGTGTTCGCGCATGCGCTTAGTCCAATGCAGTAATCAATATTTCCATGCTCTTTTCTATTGCTTGCTATCAGTTTAACCATAATTTTATTGCCATAATTGTTGATCGTGTAAACGCTAGATAAGTTATAATTAACCAGCTACTGTTTATACACAATGTAATGTTATAATAATATAACTTTAATTGTATCTTGAAAGTTTAAAAAATAAATAAAGGGTGATCCATTTCGAGGTTGCCTACTTTTTACAAGAAAAAACACAGAAACTTCCAATTTGATTGAGAATGTTTATTATGTTATTATTTGGCATTTATTTTTTGAAGATTATCACTTTCAAATGTTGCCCGCGGCTACGGATCGGATGGTCCATCCGTTAAGTTCAATTTTCGAAGAAGAATGGAAGAAATATGGATCGATGATTCCACCGGCACACAAATCACGCCAAACCGTTGTTTTTTCTGAATGAAATGGCAGCTCTTGATTAATTTCATTGAGCCAAAAATGGGCCGCATCGCTGAACAAAATTTGACTCGAAAACGTCGGGTCTTCTGCGAACTGTTCAAGAGCCCACAAGCTGTATTTTGTACACGACAGTTGGACACGAGTCATGGGTGATCTGTCAAACAAACACTATTGAAAAAAACTTCTACTTGGATCATCCATTACAAAACACTAGCACCTAGATTTTTTAATAAACACTAATATTTATTTTACTTCGACTGGTCTCATATATAGTACAACTTACTCTTCAATTAATTTCTGAGAATACTGCAGAGGTTACAGTACATGGCTACATGAAAATCCGAGTCCGATCCGGAGGAAACGGACAAGTTATATTATACATGTTTCGTTTATTATTAAGCGACTCTGAAAAGTTTTTTCACAGCTGACGCTATTAGCACCTACAAGCTGATATATATCCTTCTGGCATTTGCTAACAATTAGTGTATGTATGTTGAACGTTTACTCAATTGAGCGCTGGTCAAATTGCAAAATTCGTTCGCTGATGATGTGATTTTAATCCTCCACTTAAAAATGTTTAACTGAATACAATCAGGAGCTATGTACAGAGGCAGACAAGGGTACACCAATATTTCAAAGTTTGAGTAGTTGTTCAAAGCCGACAAGCTAGCTAATATCGAAATGGGACCGAGTTGGTCCTCAATTGGCACCTTGCGTTCTAATACTGATCCAATGGACCTCGTGTCCGTTCCACGCCGGTTGACGTAACGCACCCATGCGACTGCAAGTTCCTTTTGACCTAGAGTAAAACACAGAAGATTTTCTGAATTATATGTCCTTAGCAAAGTTCATCTGGGCGCAATAATAGGAGTTCTTACTGGACATTGCCCAAAAGACGTTTATGCGGTAAAGCTAAACATCTGGACGAACGTAAGTAAAGAGAAGAGTGAAGTGGAAACATCTAGCCTTTTCTCAACTCATATTGGTCGCCTCAACAAATTTGTGATAGGCTCAAAGTACTTAGTCGATTCATAAGGGTCTTATGATCTATTGCATAGGAATTTTTTAGGTAGCACAGCAGACCGGCTTTCTAAGCTTACTAAGTGAGATCCAGAATCAACCTGTTAACCTAACGAGCTCTAACACAGCTGGCGTAAAGGTGTAAAAGCGAATTTATTGACGATTTACGCATGAATGGATGATACTTATATTGATATCACCGCTCAGAGCAATCAATGTCATTGCTTTCAGTAAGCAATTTAGTTAGCGATCTCAAAACACAGCACATGGTGTGATAATTCTTAGAAAACTAAAAATAACCATGAAAAGTCGAGTTCTATGAAGAATTGCGACAAAACCGGCTAGTAAAGAGGATATGGGAAGGTTTAATTTTAAAGTCCGTGCCTAAGCCTAAAACTATGTATTCTCACTTGATAGACCTAACAGTATTGCCGAATATGCGAAGGTGAAATGGGGGAATTTAAAGAGCGAAAGAGAGGGTTTAGAGAAACTAAAAACAAGCACGCTCATTGAACTGACGCAAAACCATAACAAAGAGTTCCATAAGTTACAGCTCCCTCAAAATTTAAAATTATATTTAAAATCGATTTCAAGACTTTATCGCAAATATACTTACACAAAAATCACATGCTTGTAAATAACGCCGATGGGGTATAAAAGCTGTAAAAGACGTTGACAGAAAGTTTTCAAAAAAAAAAAAAAATACGAAAATCGTCATATAATTTTCACTTCTACAAAAGCATTTCTATATTTTAATAAGAAAAAGATCGTATATTTTTTTAAATGTTTGCAAATATAGCACATTTACGCGCGCCATTACTGATCTCGCAACGTGTTTCACGGCGACTTGGGACGACTCCCTTGCGTGCGCTCACTCTTGCGGATTTTCACACACAGACTTGTCTAACGTAAATGAAGGATTCGTTTAAAGGTGTACGCAAGAAGTTGAAATATTTGTTTTTCCAGGTCCAAATCCCAAATCAAATGCCCGGAGGGAATACTTTCGAAGGACCCACCCGAAACGACAGTAAAACGACTTCTTACAACGAACTAACTAAGGCTAAACTATATATTCTTTCAGAAAAAACTTGCACAGCATGCCTGCTGCAAATGTAAATGCTGTGTGGTGCCAACAGCCGAGACTAAGACCGCGAAGAAACATTGGAAGCGCAACAGTGAGCGCAACCCAACGGTAAATGGCAAAGTTGTCCTCAGCTTGCTACTCACATTTAATTTTATTTTCGCTTTTCTGTTGCACTACAGGGCCCGTCGAAGCTTTTGAACAACTTCGAAGACATCAAGCATACAACGCTTTCGGAACGTGGTGCACTCAAAGAGGCAGCGCGTTGTCTCAAATGCGCCGATGCACCTTGCCAAAAATCTTGTCCGACACAAATCGACGTAAAATCTTTCATCACTAGCATTGCCAATAAGAATTATTACGGTGCTGCCAAGATAATATTCTCCGATAATCCGCTGGGTCTTACTTGCGGCATGGTGTGCTCCACCAGCGACCTCTGTGTTGGTGGCTGCAATTTGCAAGCTACCGAAGAGGGTCCTATCAATATTAGCGGCTTACAGCATTTCGCCACCGAACGTTTCAAGGAGATGGGAGTGCCTCAAATTGTGCCGCCCAATGCGAAGAAGTTGAAAGATCCCAAAAAGAAGATTGCTCTTATAGGCGGTGGGCCGGCTTCGCTTTCGTGCGCAACTTACTTAGGTCGTTTGGGTTATAAAGATGTGACGATCTATGAGAAAAACGCTTTTCTGGGTGGTTTGAGCGCAGCGGAGATACCACAATTTCGTTTACCTGTTGACGCGGTCAATTTCGAGATTAAACTCGTTAAGGACTTGGGTGTCAAGTTTGAGTTGAATCGTTGTTTATCCACCAAGGACATAACGGTTGATGTAAGATGTTAAGTAAGCAGTATTAGAGCGATGTTTTATACTAATTTTGCACTTTTGATGTGCTAGGATTTACTTAAAGGAGGCAATCATGCAGTTTTCTTGGGCATAGGTTTGCCCGAACCAAACATAGATCCGGTTTTCTGTGGCTTAGATGAATCCATGGGATTTTATACATCGAAAAGTTTCCTACCATGCGTGGCAGGCGGTTCCAAACATGGTATTAGCAAAGATAGCAAACTCCCCAAGTTGTCAGGCAATGTGATTGTGTTGGGCGCTGGCGACACGGCCTTCGATTGTGCGTCTGCCGCATGGCGTTGCGGCGCCGAACGTGTGCTTGTCGTGTTTTTGCATAGTACAGCGCTTATACCAGCCTTACCCGAAGAGGTTGAGTTAGCACGCGAAGAGTGGTGTGAATTGGTGCCGTACTCGAAGGCCAGCAAAGTGATTTTGGAGGACAATAAGGTGTGTAAGGCTGCCACTCAATATCCCTAAAAGCTTTTGTTTTGAACAACTTCTTTCGCAGATTGTTTCTGTTGAATTCATACGCACCGATATGGACTTAGATGGCACTATTAGAGAGGACAAAGATCAGAAAACGTATCTGCCAGCAGACTTTGTCATATCTGCCTTTGGCTCTGGTTTGAATCAAAAAGAAGTAATTGATGCCATGAAACCAGTAAAACTCAACAAAAATAATCTACCAAAGGTGGACCCGAAAACCCTTCAAACCAGCGTACCACAAGTGTTTTGTGGTGGTGACTTAGGCGGTATTGCCAAGACCACTGTGGAATCAGTGAACGATGGTAAAGTCGCTGCTTGGAGTATTCATTGCCAACTCGAAGGTCTGCCACTTAACACTCCAGCCGATTTACCGCTTTTCTATACTGAAATCGATAACGTAGACTTGTCCGTGGATGTCTGTTACGAGTATTTAGATCGTAAAACTTGCAAGAGAGAGATGCGCGCACTCAGATTCCCGAATCCTTTCGGCTTGTCTTCCGCGCCGCCCACAACAACGGCTGCTATGTGTCGTCGCGCCTTCGAACAAGGTTGGGGCTTTGTTGTTGTGAAAACATTCTGTCTCGACAAAGATATGGTGACCAATGTCTCACCGCGTATAGTACGTGGTACGACATCAGGTTACAACTATGGACCGAATCAGGGCGCTTTCCTTAACATCGAGTTAATCTCGGAGAAACGTGCCGATTATTGGTACAAGACTATAGCTGAACTCAAAAAAGATTTTCCCGAAAAAATTGTAATCGCCAGCATAATGTGTCCTGATAGCGAAGCAGACTGGAAGGATATGGCGCCTAAGGCAGAGAAGAGCGGCGCCGATGCTATTGAGCTGAATCTATCCTGTCCACATGGCATGGGTGAGTCCGGCATGGGTTTGGCTATTGGGCAAGTGCCCGAACTGGTGCAAAAAGTTTCGAAATGGGTCAGCGAATCTGTTAGCGTACCAGTTTTTGTCAAATTAACGCCGAACATCACCGAAATAGTAGATATTGCGTCGGCTGTTAAACGTGGTGGAGCTGCTGGCGTAACCGTTATTAATACCGTACAGACGTTGATGCTACTAAAAGCCGACGGCACTGCATGGCCGGCTGTGGGCAATGAGAAACGCACCACATATGGTGGCATGTCGGGTAACGCAACACGACCGATCGCGTTGAGAGCGATCTCGGCAATCGGTAATAAAGTACCAGGGCTAGCCATACTTGGTTGTGGCGGTGTGGATTCTGGCGATGCAGCTTTACAGTTTCTTCATGCTGGCGCCTCAGCTCTTCAAGTATGTTCGGCCGTACAGAATCAGGATTA